ATGAGCTGGTACAGGACAAGGACTATTTCATGTTGAGTTTTTAAAAAATAATTTTTTTCATAGAACATGATATCTATAACTACACATGATTTTGTTTTATTATTACATCTTAGTATATTTGAATAAAATTTCAGAAATCACAAAATGTCACATTAGAATAATGCACTTTTAGAAAAAATGTTCTGTTAGATGCTTAGAAAGCTGGACTGTTTTGTCTTTTATTGTGTGATTTTGTAAGCTATTTGCCTACGAAAGTAAATCTTATTTCAAGATACCTGTCATCACTGTACTCTTTAAAATAAGAAACATTTCTATTATGAATGGAACAAAATTGTTTAACATAAAAATGATTCCTAAAACCACTTAATTGAAACAACATTTTTGTCAAGTATTTTTGTCTTCTGGGCCATAGCTATAGGGTATACATTTTATTTAGAATATAATTATTTTTATCAAAATCAGTTGTTTGGTAGAGCCAGTTCACTCTTACAACTGTGTGGTAGGTAAAAGCACAGATTTCTCTTCACCCGACTAGTCCAGTAGAAGACTATTCTCTCAAGTGGGTTTGCATCCTCTGTGATTGTGAACCATGATCCACCAGGTGGGAGAGGGCAAGATTATAAATTCCACTTATGTTGATGTTCATCTAAATGGGAAAAGAATGAAAGTTGAGAGTATTTAGTATGTCTTCTGACCCTTCCACTCTCCCTGTGTCTGATCTTCAGATAATGCTTCTCGAAGTTAAGGAAGTGTAGGTGTTTTGACGATAGCATGCTCGCATATTTGTTCATGTTCAGCTTATGGTGAAGCATTGTGGTGTTACAAGGTGTCATTGATTTTGTAACGATAAAACCAAGACTTTTAAATGCCAGCATCTTTAGTATTGTGTGGAATGACCAAGAAAATCTTTTTACCACACAGAAATTCTTTGGCTATCTCATGAATTGCCAAAGATGAGTTATACACTTTTTTTTTTTTTAAATTGAAAAGCGCTCCAGTTTTCCTGATTTTTTTTTTTTTTTTTTTTTTGGTGTGTGATACCAAGTGGATGATGATACCATGCTACCTAATAGGTATTACATAAATAATATACAAGATGAAGTTTAAATGGTTTAAACAGTGTTTAAAAGATTAAGTCCACTTAAAATAAGCTTGTGGTTTTGGAGAAAGTATTTTGTTTGTCTGTTTTTCAAGTTTATTTATTTTGAGAGAGAGAGACAGAGAGACAGAGAGAGAGAGAACATGTGTGCACACAAGTGGGGGAGGGACAGGGGAGGAGGGGGAGAGAAAGAATCCCAAGCAGGTTCCAAACCATCAGCACAGAGCCCAACACAGGACTCAAACTCACAGACTGTGAGATCATGATCCAAGCCAAAATAGGGTTGGACCCTTAACTGACTGAGCCACCCAGGCTCCCAGCACTGCTCTGTTTTTAATTCTTTGGGGGCATATATCTAGGAGTAGAATCGGGGGATCATATGGTAACTGTGTTGAACTTTTTGAGGAAAGGCCAAATTATTTTCCATAGTGACTAAACCATTTTGCATTCCCACCAGCAGTACATGAGGGCTCCATTTTCAAGGAGTATACTTTAAAAATAAACAAATACACTCGTGTTAGTGGTGCCTGCCCAAATGTTTTTCACTGACTGGAAATAAAAATATGAAAAGTCTGGAGCCTACTCCAGAGAAAGCCCTTTGGCCCCATGTGAGGTGAGTGTATGATCATGTATGTTTGTAGGATGGAATAGGGCTGGGACACTGTAGTTGTGGGAAGCAGGGTCTGACTCTCTTTGGCCTCAGCTTTTTCATCTGTAAATGACAAGTTTCTACAATGAGATTGTAGAGTATCCCTAAGAGCTCTGTAGGCCACTAGTCACTTATTATTCCTCAGGCTCTATTCTGATGAGCATTTACATTTTATACATGAGAGGAATGAAAATAAATAACAATCTGACTTCTTATGAATTGTACAAAAATTACATGTACTATTTGCTTCTCTCCCTCTCAGCACACTGGGCTGCATTGCAGTTATCTTACTGTAGATGCCTTTATTGCTAATGCAGCATCTTTTTTCTTTAGGGCACCATGGAATAAAAACAATCATAACAATACAGAGAAGCTCCCTCATGTAAGGCACATAATGCATTCTTTGCAAACATAATGTTTACTCAAGTCTCATTAGAACCCATCTCTCCTTTATAAAGAAGGGATCTGAAGCTGACATAACTTAACGAACTTGCCTAAAGAACAAAGTAGAAGAGCTTGAATTAGAATACAGGTTGGTCTGATCTCAAGATAACTGTTCTTTCCATCTCATTTTCACTGGAAAGAAAAATTGTTTCCATATTTCTTCTGAATGCCCTGCCGAGTCATTTTACGCAGCAACTTTCTGACCTTGGCTTGATTTAGCTTTATTATACATAGGGCACTGCTGAATTGTAAAATATCACTAGCCGCATGAATAGGAGATTCTTTTCTAGAAATCCTTGATAATGCCTAAAATGATTTCAGGCAACCTAAGGAGACTCTGTCTCTCTGTATTCCTTCTCCCCTAAGGCAGGTAGATGAGGATTTGTTTGTTGCTTTTCATTAAGCCCATTCTTTTGTAAGTTTGTACATTTACTTCTGGTCCAGAAAAACAGAGATGCATTAAGCCAGTAAGTCTCAGGAGCTCAATTCCCGAGACTAATCATTCTGTATTATAAAAGAGCCATGTTCCTCTTATATAACCATTGTACATTTCCTATGCTGCATTCAATCAAAGAATTTACAAAGATCAGGAAACCCTGTTGGGAGCTCTAGAAATACAAACTGAAGGCAGGGACAATGAAACCCTCCTGCAAAATCATCTTGATAAAGAAAAGTGTGAAAATAGTGAGAAAACCACAGGCCAGGCCTTTAGAATCCTGGGCACCAAGTTTTAATAATATGACTACATAGAACAAGTATACATTGTTATTTACCACAAATGCCACTATCTAAGCATTGTGTTCATTGTTTATAAGATTCAAAACTAACAAGAGAAGTATTCTTCAGGAGTTCAGTGAATCAGGCAATGGGCCTCCATTACTACTACTGAACCCACTTAACAAGTCCCCATAGTAATTTAGTAGCTATTTTCTCCAAAGACCATGTATTACTTACTTCTCTTGTCATCTCTGATGCCCAGCACCATACCTGGCAGACAGGAATTGCTCAATAAAGGTATGAAGAAATAATGGATAAAAGAAGCAAAGATGAAATTGTTTCTTAAGGCAAAAGCTTTTTATTATGCATGTTTTAATGACTTTGCTTTAGATTTAGTATGCTTTTAATATGAAGGAGGATATTCTAGAATGGTACAGATATAATTACATATTTTTAACTCTATGAAGAAGAAGGCTTTAGAAGAAGAGAAGACACTCATAGATGATGCTTCTGCTGGCTACCTTCCTTCTGCTGACTTCTCAGGTGCACTTTGGGCCTTCACTCTGCTCTCAACCTATGTGGTGGGCCTGGAATGGGCTGCATTAATGGTTTCCCTTGCCTCTGGGTTTTGGTTGGATTAGACCAAAGCAGTCATAGCAAGAGACCAGATGGCAAGAGGAGAGTGAGTCAGATTATTTATCCTCTTTACTTCCTCCCCACGGGATCACGGTGCGCTGACTGCATGACCTTTTCAGGTGGACTTTGCCAGACCCATCTCTGTCTCCAGGTTCCCATAACTGCTCCTTCCACTCATTCTGTCAGTTCTTGGGAATTTACGTGCCACAGAGAATGTACTCAATGGTGTTCAAGCTTGTTTTCTCAGCTTTCATGAACACATTTATTATTTTTTAATTGTAATAAGATAATTCATTAGGATCTCTTTACATTTATCCATTATTTATACTTCTTCAGGAAAAATAACATAGTTACTACTAATCTGAAACCTTCAAATACACATTTTACCTACATGTTTTTACATGTCTTTATAAGGCAATGTTTTAAAGGTAAGGTTACTTTTGGGGATGCCTGGTGGCTCAGTCGGTAAAGCATCTGACTCTTGATTTCAGCTCAGGTCATGATGTCACATTTGGAGGATCAAGCGCCACATTGGGCTCGGTACTGAGCATGGAGCCTGCTTGGGATTCTTTCCCCCTCTCTCTCTGCCCCTCTCCCACACTAGCACTCTCTTTCTCAATCAAAACAAATAAATAAACATTAAAAAATAAATGTAGGGTTACTTTGGAATACACTAATCTGTCAGTAGGACAGATTGCATTATTTCTTATGAAATTCTGTAGTTCTATTGTCCACTCAATAATATAATTGCTATGAAGCCAACGTTGTTACTTTTAGCTACAGATGCAAGATCATAGGTTCTGTTGTCAAACTACCTGGGTTCCAAATCCTGACTCCAACACTTACTTGAAATTTTTAGAAATTTACTTGTTTTCACATGCATAATATGTAAATTACACTAGTGTATTTATTTTTGTGTTTTAGGAAAGGCTGAGTATAAAGCACTTAACCCCTGCCTGGCAAGGGGAAAACACATTATGTATGTTCCCTGCTATTGTTATTTGCTACAACATCTCTATCATCATCAGAGAGTGTCAGTTACCTGCAATTTGTTAAGATCTCTAATTTTAAAATGCTTTATTTATTTCTATGGAAATCCTTTGAAAATACACCTTATTCTTTTCTTCATTTTTAAGATAAAGACCACCTTGTCTTGGTGACCAGGCTCATTTTAACAGACATTAATTTTTATTGACTCATTATACATTTGTAGATATTAAGGTGTTTTGCTTTCCTCAATTCTTTACTAAATGCCAACAAAAGGAAACTGCTCTATAACCAAGAAAGTGTTAAGTACCAATTCTAAAAACATTTTTGGGTTCTTTATGAATTATACAGACAATAAGTTCCATAGGATTGCTGTGGATTTTAGTGATTAAAGAAGGCTTTATAGATGGGATTTCAGCTGGATCTGGAAAAATGGACTTATTTTTACTAATCCTCAGATGAAGTGAATCCATTTACACTGTGGGCTCAGTCAGTTTCAGGTGAATGCTCTCCAACAGTCACCTGGGGATAAGCCTATCATGCCAGAGAAACATAGGCTAGGAGAGTTTCCTAACAACACGGAGCACGAACTGGCCTGCCTCTGGAATTTGGATAGAGTATTGTAGGTGCATATCCCTGGCATCAAGCTACCGCTCCAAAGAAAGCAATGTTTTCCTCTTCCCTCTTGGAGGACAGTGCTCTGATGTACTGCAGAAGAAGAAAGGAACTAACATAAGAAACATTAACTTATGTTTCAGGTATGTCAAGCAAACCTTAGGATTATTAAACTCACAGGATGATATCTCAATTCTCCGCTGTGTCAAGAGTATACTTGAAATGGATCATGTGTTTAACAGTGAAGTGATATTTAGATAACTGTGCCCTGTTAAAAATTTGTTTTGCCAGGAGCAGAAATAGAGGAGTTGAGCTAAAAGTCCAAATATGAGATGAGCTTCACAAATAATTCGATGATTGTTGTTGGGGGAAGTGTCCAAATTAAAAAAAAACATAGGAGAAAGGGCAGTGGAAGATCAAAGTGGACAGGGAAGCAGAGAGCTGGAAGGGCAAAGCCTGGCCCTTCCATTGTGTGCGTGTGCAGCCAATATCTCTGCGCTTTGATGATGCTGATGGAGGATTATAAGCTTCCTATGGTATTTTTGGAGAAACTCTGAAAATCGTTTTTTCTAAATTCAGGTTAGGTTGACTATAAGAGGATTAACTGTGTCTGTATCAAAAAGGCTTTCAGGGATATAGGGATTTTAAGGCACTTGAAATAATCCCTGCAGAGCAGGCAAGAAAATAGTATCTTTACTTTAATCGAGTAAAAGATATTATTAAGGAATCACACATGATGGATACAGTTCAATTTATTACAAAATTATCTGCTTAGCAAAATTAAGCAATACTTTATGAAGGAAGCTTTATGTATATAATTTTTTCATGTATTGATGTACCATTTGTCTCAGCATATCTGTTGCTTACAATTTAAAAACAATGTCTTTTGCTATTTTTAATTTATTTTTTGCTCCCTCTCTCTCTCTCTCTCTCTCTTTCTCTCATCCCCCCACCTCCTGGTTGTATAGAAGTGCAGTATAATGTAAGAGTTGAGAGTCTGATTGTGGAGTGAGGTAGATCTAGATTCACATTGAATCCTGGGCTACTCATTCCATATATGCCTTTCAAGTTACTTAGTTTCTCTGCCTCAGTTTCCTGATTAGTAAAGTGAGGATACCAACACATATCTCACTGTTTTGGTGACAATCCAATATGGTAATATATGTAAGGTGCTTAAGTGGATAAATATTGTGGCACATAAATATTGTGGAATATATAAGAGCTCGTACTTTTTTATTCCTCATATGAGCTTTCATGATGATTCTGCTGACAGTTCATACTCCATATTTGTTGTACAAGCAAATTTATATTTACGTTTCCCAGTTTCAGTTTTGCAGTTTGATACAGGTGATGATGGTGATGATGATTCCCTGTGAACAGATAAGACAATTGAGCCTCAGAGGTTTTAAGTCATAAACAGAAGTAACTGCTAAATAGAAGAATTAAAATATGAAATTTGTACCCAATTTTAAGTGACTGAGATTTTCTGTTAAGTGGTATATAGAGTGAGCAGTATGGAAAATGAAAAATGAAAGAGTGATTTTTTTAAAAAAAATCAATATGGTGTTATCATTTATAACTCATTTCCCTGATTCTGTTGTCCTGTGACTAAAACATCGTGTCTTCATCTCTAAGGGCTCATAGACAGTGGCAGGAGAAATACATGTTGCGTGTATGGAAAAGCACACAAAAGGGGAAATGGGCAAGTATTTTCAATGCACCACTTTAAGGAATGAGATTTTTTACTGTTGCCCAGAGAGTTCTTAAAATATGGGGCATACCACATAAAATATAATTTAAAGGAGCTCTCCCATCCCTCTGAGATAAGCAAATGGCTCTAGGGATTTTATCCAGCTTAGAAGGCAAAGCCAGGACACTTTCAGCCTCATTCATATCCTTGAAGGGAACTGTGGAATAGGGTATTTTATTTGGCTTCATTTCTACTGGCAGAAAAAAAAAAAAGAAGAAAGAAAGACACAGTATCAGCTCAACAGGATTTTTCATGTCTTAAGGATTAACCATTGAAAAGAAAGACAATTTTATTAAAGCTTCTTCACTTTAACCATCTATAAAGGATTGATTTGAGCTATAGATTCCAAGAGGTTTTAAATTAGGTAGCAGAATCATTTGTCTTTACAAAATCAACCAGTCAGGGCATCAAAATCTAAACTCCTTAGGAAAAATAATGCTATATTTCTTTCAGTTGAGTATTTCTATACTGAGGACAAGATTAGAAGTTATGACATTGGTTAGGAAAAGCTGTTGTTTTTTACTTCAAGTCCACAGCGTCACCTATCTTTTATTTCACCCACAAATGCTTTATGTACTTTTTTAAATGAAAGATAGGATAAATACATCATTTTTTTTAATTTAGCAGGTTTCAAAATGAGTCAGTTTCCTAGCATCCTCAAAAAGTGACCAATACATGTGAATTTAAACATGCAGTCTGTTACAGTTATTATCCACATGGATACCTGTATTGTCCCAAGCCTGTTTTACTATCCCAAGAAATCTCTCTTGGATTCTGAGTCTTTTGGACATACCCTCAATGGGTTCTGACAGCTTTCTTACTTGTGTACAAGACTCATCCTGTATACTTGCTACCCAGCCACTTCTTAAGGAACCTGGCTTACTTATAGGGGGCAACAATTTTTAGATGCCACAGTTGAATGTTGGAGAAACCAAACATTTTCTGTAAGATATTTAGCATAGCTTATTATCTGAAATCTTTAAATTATTATAATTATACTTAAGTACCAAACCAGAGTAATTTATTTTTATTTGTATTTTTTATCTTTAATTTTTATTGTTTTTTTTTTTTTTTTTTTTTTTTTTTTTTTTTTTTTTTTTTTACCTTTGACCTCCTTCACCCATTTCTCCCACCTCCCAATCCTCACCTATGGCAACCACCAGTCTGTTCTCTATATCTATGATCTTGTTTCCCTCCCACCTCAAATTACATATGTGAGAGAGATCATACAGTATTTGTCTTTCTCTGTCTGACTTATTTCACTTAGCACAATGCCCTCGAGGTCTATCCATGTTATTGCAAATGGTAATATTTCATTATTTTTTACTGCTGAATAATCTCTCTCTCTCTCTCTCTCTCTCTCTCTCTCTCTCTCTGTGTGTGTGTGTGTGTGTGTGTGTGTGTGTGTGTGTGTACCACAATTTCTTTATCCATTCATTGATAGGCATGCAGGTTGTTTCCATATTTTGACTATTGGAAATAATGCTGCTATAAACATGCAGTTACATACATTTTTTGAGTTAGTGTTTTAATTTCCTTCTGATAAATACCCAGAATTGGAATTGCTGGATCATGTGGTAAGACCTACTTTTAATTTTTTGAAGAAAGTCTTCACTGTTTTCCATAGTGGCTGCCCAATTTTCATTCCCATCAGCCATGCACAAGAGTTCCATTTTCTTTACATCCTTGCTAACACTTATTATTTCCTGACTTTGATTATAGCCATTATAACATGTGTGAGGAGATATCTCACACATGATTTGCATTTTCTGATGGTTAAAGATGTTGAACATCTTTTCATGTGCAACATGGCTTTTTATTAATGGTTTTAATTTTATTAATGGCTTCATTTTCTGTGCAGATTTTAGTTTGATGTAGCCTCTCATATTTATTTGAACTTTGGTTGCCTTTACTTTTGGCATCAGATTTAAAAAATTCATCACCAAGACCTATGTCAAGTTGCTTACCACCTATGTTTTCTTCTAGGAGTTTTATGGTTTCAGGTTTTGTGTTCAAGTCTTTAATTCATTTTTAATCCGTTAATTTTTGTAAATACTATGAGATAGTGGTCCAGTTACACTCTTTTGCATAAGGCTTGCCAGTTTTTTCATCATGATTTATTGAAGAGACTGTCCTTTCCCTATTGCATATTCTTGACTTCTTTGTTGTATATTTATTGACTAAATATTTGTGGGCCTATTTCTGGGCTTTCTATTCTATTCCATTCAATTTTTTTTTCCTTAATGCTTTATAGCTTTCAGTATGCAGGTCTTTTACCTCCTTGGTTAAATTCATTCTTAGGTGATTTATTCTTTTTGATTCAATTGTTAACGAGATTTTTCTTCTTAACTTCTCTGATAGTTTGTTATTTTTGTGTGTATTGATTTTGTATCCCTCAACTTTTAATTATGTTGACTAAAAGTGGTGAGAGTGAGCATCTTAGTTTTTATCTTGGTCTTGGAAGAAACACTTTTTCACTATTGAGTGTGATATTAGTTGTGGCCTTTTCATATATGGCATTTATTATGTTAAGGTACATTCTCTTCCTACCCACTTTGTGGAGAGTTTTTTTAAAATCATAATTGGATGTTAAACTTTGTCAAATGCTTTTAAAAATATATATATTTGTTTTTGAGAGACAGAGAGAGCATGAGCAGGGGAGGGGCAGAAAGAGAGGGAGAGAGAGCCCCAAGCAGGCTCCATGTTTATTGCAGAGCCTGACATGGGGCTTGATTCCATAACAATGAGATTATGACTGAGCCAAAATCAAGATTTGGACTTTCAACTGACTGAGCTACCCAAGCACCCCTTGGCAAATGCTTTTTATGCATTTTTAAGATAGTCAAATGATTTTTATCCATTTTTTATTACGAATAATTTATTTATATTTTAAATTTACATCCAAGTTAGTTAGCATATGGTGCAACAATGATTTCAGGAGTAGATTCCTTAGTGCCCCTTACCCATTTAACACATCCCCCCTCCCACAACCCCTCCAGCAACCCTCTGTTTGTCATTTATATTTAAAAGTCTCTTCTGTTTCGTCTCCATCCCTGTTTTTATATTACTTTTGCTTCCTTTCCCTTATGTCCCATCTGTGTTGTATCTTAAAGTCCTCATATGAGTCAAGTCATATATTTGTCTTTTTCAGACTAATTCCACTTAACATAATACCCTCTAGTTCCATCCATGTAGTTGCAAATAGCAAGATTTCATTCTTTTTGATTGCTGAGTAATACTACATTGTATGTGTGTGTGTGTGTGTGTGTGTGTGTGTGTGTGTGTGTGTGTGTATCACATCTTCTTTATCCATTCATCTGTCAATGGACATTTAGGCTCTTTCCATATTTTGGCTATTGTCGATAGTGCTGCTATAAACATTGGGGTGCAGGT